AGAACTTCTATGCCAGTGCATACATTTTCCTTAAATGCTGAGTGGTCGCCACACGCCGCCTTCGCGGGTTTTCCGAACAGATCGAATTACGGTCTCCGTCTTCTTAGGTTGGAGCTTACCACGTATCGTTCCATGCACCTCTGCATAGGTTTTGCTTTCAGCTGGCTTAATGATTAGTTTGGCGAGACTCTTCTTTTTTCCATTGATTATCTGGGTTCCTGCGCATTATTATTATTACCATTATTATTATTACCATTATTGATAATAATATTATTACTACTATTATTATTATTATTAGTACTTTTTTCTTTTCCGGCTGGCCTGTAGGGGAACCGGATCGAGTTCGAGCTCTCTTGTGCGAGACAGGGCCAGTTTTCTGCAGCTCGGAAAGGGTAGACCCCTTCCGCCGCTGCTCCCGGAGGTAGCTTAGTGTATTTAAGCTTATTTAAGCCGTTTTTATGTCCATGGACACATTTTTCTCTTTGGAGAGAGCCCTTTTCATCTTCTTCAAGTTTCCAAGCTTGTCGGCTGCCGGGAGTTGTCGTTTGCAAAGGTAGTTTTCTGCGCCACGTCGACAGTTTTCTCCGTGCTCGTGATGCCGGCTTTTGCCTGCAGAGGAATTTGTGGCGGGGAGGAACAACTCTACTGCTCTTTCTGAATGCGCTACATTCTTCCTCGAGAACACCTACATCTGTCACATTTGTCTTTGTTGTTTGTTTGATGATTTCAATTCTATTGGGTCTGCGCTTCAAGCCGCTATCTCCACACGTAGCACAGACGCTTTAAGTGTCCCGAAGTTCCCTTCTCTCAAAGGAGCAGGCCATCGCGAGGGCTGCCACAAGTCCTTATGGGATATTGTGTTCAGAGCCAAGACAGCGCAAATCCAGGAGTAAATCCCAACTGGACCTGTGCGGGCAACATGTACTGAACATACTTGAAGACCTGCCAGGGTTTTAACGAGACGGAGGCGATTGCAGCATTAGCCCACAAGCCATATCTGTGAGGTATCACCCTCACATACTAAAGTGGTGGAATACTGCTTTCGCCCAATGTCGAACTAATCGTATACATGTTCCAGTATGCCATGAACAGGATCTAACTGGCCTCAATCCTGGGATGCTTTTTGGGAGGAGGCATCTGTTCGCCCGGACACAGGAAATTCATCAAGCATTTCTGATATGTTAAATCAGGCCCTCGGCTCTTGCCGCTCTTGGTCTGGGACTACTTATTGGTTATTCGCAGCTAACCCACCGAAGTAGGCCGTTCACGATCCGCCCTGTGTGACCCCGATAAAGTCCTGAGCTTAGCCCTTACCATAATAATAATGTCAAAGAAATCCTCTGGTTTCCAGAGGGGTGTAATTGATAAAATTGCTGGAGGGGTTTGCAGACTCTGTTCAGAACCGTGGTCGCCACGGCCTTCTGTTACTTCTCAGCTTGAAAAAATTGGCCACATCCCTTAATTGTGGCAATATCATAGTTCTATGACTAATGAAGCATAAGATGAATAAACAAAAAACAATTTCAAAACTGATAATAAACCTCATTACTTATACCTCAATTGCAGTTAGAAAGTTATTTTAACCATGATGATATTATCTGATTTGACAAGGACCTATGCGTACAGTCACTAAACGCACTTCAGAGCCGTGACTGCACACACAAGTTTACACATATTTATACATACATACATATGTAAGTATTTATATGAACGAGTATGCAAATAAAAATACACAAAGCAGTAAGCGGCATTTATTTACCGTAAACACCTCCCAGAAGCTAGATAGCTATCAATGCCAAAATTATATTTACGGAAGTTTGCAATTACCTGACCCAGTTACGTGTCGAAAAACAACGCTAGTAAATGCTTCGTACCCATTCATTTCTAAATGATTTATATGCGAAGCTAACGCCTGAGGCACGTCCACAACTTCTACGTAAAAACATTTTTACCGTGGTCCTTGTAACATTTCGTGTAGGCGTGTTGGCTTACTTTGTCACAATTGTCGCAAATTTTCCAATACAAAAGGTCGAAAAATAGCTAGTGTACGTGTCTTACGATGGCTTCCTCTATTTTCAGAGCAATAAATTTTGTATCCTGTTCGATAAATCTCATTAAGATTTTTTAAATACCTTTAACTAAGTCCTAACGAAACGTTTCTTTGCTTGATACGCCGAAACGTTTTATTAAATTCCAAGTGGCATGCATGGGAAAAAACGAACAAGAGAAAAAGGTGAGAAATGAGCACCAAAGGCTTCATACCAGTCAAGTTATTTACATAGATCAAAGCCAATAATTCAGTAAATTGAATTGTCAAACTGATAAATGCCAAACACTCTTGGCAAATTTCCATGGCTTTGGATACTTTACCGCTACAGCTCATTGACATCAAAAGAATTTTTTTGATTTTATTGACTTAAAAATGACTGGTAGTTCCGAAAAATTGTAAATCTTCTTCGATTAGTAGCCACCGGAGACAGACTAAGTAAGTGTATATTTTTAGATAAAAGAGTTAAAAGGTATAGTAAAATTGCTTTATGCAATTCTACCCTGCAAGACAGCTGAGTATCATATGAGTGCTCATTTTATCATTATCACTAATTACAAAAGTGCTTATTGAAATCCTCATTTTCGTTCAGGCCATGGGCAAAAATTGAGTGCTTTCCCCTTGTCAGTGTGATATTTTATCTCTTTCCTACCAACGGCCATTTCATATAAACGAAAAATATATCTATTTTGCTCTACAAACAAGGCAACTTATCATTGTTGTCATTACAAACTTCTCAGCACTAATAAACAAACTAATCATTTTTTTCATCACAAAGCCATCAGCACTAATCATCAAAGTCCTCATTTTTTTCATTACAAAGTCCTCAGCACTAATCATCAAAGTCCTCAGCACTGGAAAAACCAAATAAGTGGAAAATAAACAATTTTATTTTTATTAATAAAATGATTTATTTAAGAAACTTTGTTGTTACAACAAAATACTTAATTATTGATTTCATAATACTTATATTTACAACATTTTCAGTTTTTAAAGTTTGATATTGAAAATTTACTTTATTTTTAGTGCTTATATTTACAAAGTTAATGCTACTATTTATACTTCTGATACTATTTTTCTTTACTATTTTTAACGTTATAGCTTAAGAAATTGCAAGTTTCAAGTAGCCAAAAATTCGCGTGGATTTTCGATAATTTTTTTTTGCTAACGGTGTCAAGCATTTTCTTCCATACAAAGTGTTCGAAAACATTTTTGTATGGAAGAAAATAATACTACCCGCCAAATAAATTGTGAAAAATCAACGCGCATTTTTAGCTACTTGAAAATTGCACTTTCTTAAGCTAGAATTTAAACTGCATACTTAGTATTGTAAAATTTTGTTGAATTTTAAAAATTTTTCTACAAAAGTTTGAAATTTGGTCTTATGTGGTTTTTGTTAGACAATGAGCTGTATTTTTATAAACAAAAATAACAAACATTAAAGAAACAATGGAAAAATGGCAAAAAGTGGTCAAAATGTCGTGTCCCTATTAATTTTCACATGACTGTATATAGTTGTAATATTACTTTCATTTATATTTTTAGAAGTTAATTTATTTTTATTATAATACTCATATTTAAAAACTTATTGCTATTATTTACATTTTATACAAATTTTTGGTATTTTTAGTTATTTATATATATTTGTATTCATATTTTTTTATTTAGCAGTTATACTATATTTACGGATTTTCTTTCAATACTAATATTTACGTATTTAACGCTACTATTTACACTAAGGGCCGTTAACTTATCTTTTTTAAAGTAAAGTTAAACTTTACTACACAAAATTCCGAGTTTGGTGCTTAACTAATGATTTATCAATACTTTAAAAGATATAAATTAACGGCCTTTATATTATTTTTTAATATAAGTTTTAATACTATTTCTTATTTATACGTTATATTAATACGAGTATTATTAATACATATTAGTATATACAAAATTCATGACTTGTTGTATATACCAATGTGTTCTGTATTGTGTATTTGTAGCATTTATGGTTTCTGTTAGATAATGTGGTAAAACTCTAATTTGCTTTGCTGTTAGAAATTTTAGTACATTATCTACCAAAAACCAGAGAAACCGCAATTACAGAAAGCAAGGGCATATACAAAAAATGCCGAACACAATAAGAGTTGCAAATGCATTTGCCACACAATATGTACTAGATTCTGAATAGCTCTAAATAAGCAATTGGCAGTCCACGGAATTTAGACAATTTTTATTGTACACGGGAATATTTATTTTGAAATACTGCATATCAGATTATTTATACTACAACTTTCGATGATTTTAACTACAATTCTGCATAACGCAGAATTAAATATCGCAAATGAGATTTTGAAAAACTTTGTAAAATTATTTGGTGATTATGTGGTGACCTTTTGATAAGCTTTAACGCGCATAATTTACTCCACTTGCCAGATTGCGTAAAACAGTTCGGTTCTTTGGATAGTTTTTCAGCGTATAAATTTGAAAATTACATGCAGCATTTAAAAAAAATGATAAACAAACCCAGCCAAATATTACAGCACATTTATTTTAGAAACCTTGAACGACAAAACGTAATTGCAGATTCCAATATATAGATATTAATAAGGATAAGGATAGTTTTTGTTGTAGCAATAAGTTCGGACCACTCAAAATCATTGGAAAAGATTTAGATTCTAACGCTTTTAAAGCCCTAATTTTAGGAAACTATTTTGAAGAACCATTGCAATCCTCATCTGGTCTAGGCTATTTATGGTTTCTGTTAGATAATGTAGTAAAACTCTAATTTGCTTTGCTGTAAGAAATTTTAGTACATTATCTACCAAAAACCAGAAAAAAATAAGAGTTTCCAGTATCCGGTGCTTAAACATGTTGCAAATGCATTTGCAGCACAATATGTACTAGATTCTAAATACCTCTAAATACTTCTAAAAAACTTAGTGCTACTATTTACAGTTTATTATTCTACATTATTACTTAAACTTTTTTTTGTAATATATTTTTTTTGATTATGTTTATTGTAGCTTAAACTAATATATTTTTTCAGGGCAGCGCGAACTTCTTCTTTCGACTTTTCTAGGAAAATATCTAATAAATTAAATAATGTTAGTAACAAACTTGTATTGTAGTTTTTGCTAGTTAAAGACTAACCAAAAAGAAGATCGACGACTTTAAGTCCCACAAGTGGAATCTTGCCAGCCCTTCCCTCCAAGTTAAAATGCGCCACGGTCTCGTCTGTAAATAAGCCACGCATAACACCGTCAACTGTGCCTTTGGTGCCCTTTTGCCTAGCTAGTAGCCCCATCTATATATTGGAAAAAGATAGAGTTAATTACAAGGCAACTATAATATAAATGAGAATATATTACCATTGCGTCGGCATATGCCTTGGTTTTCAGCTTGGCTTCAGCAGCCTGGACTTGCTCCACCGATGACATGGGAAGCATGCTGGCTAAATCTGTCAATTCCTCGGTTTCCACGTCATCGGTGATGCGACTAACAGACTGCTGAACCCTTGCTGTCAATACCCTGCATTCCCGCAACAGTTTGCTTTGCGCCTGTATTTCGCTACGTTCTGGCACCTAAAATAAGAAAACTCGTTATTACAAAACAGAATATAATATTTATGATGTATGTCTTATTACCTTTTCGGAAAGGGCACCTTGCATTTGATTAATCGTTTCACCCATTTCCAATTGGCGAGTCTCGACGCTATTCAGTTTCGCGAAAACTTCTTCTTGGCGTTTCTGGATAGCGTGTAATGTGGCCATAATTGCCGATTGGCTATTTTGAGGCGACGGCACATCCTCGGGAAGGGCTGGTTTTTTTGTTGGAAGTCGCTCATCAAAATGAGTTCCGACTGTAAACTGCCGTTTGCGAATAATACTACCTGCAAAACTAAATATTAGAGTATAAAAATATAAAAAAATAGTACCATCTTGTGTTTTCCACTGGCTTGATTCCACTTGTGAACGAATTTCGTCAAAAATATTTGCTTCTTCCATAGTTTAACTTGAAAAATCATTAAAAAGGTGATGTAATAAAGGTATAAGTAAATATTTTCCTTCAAAAGGAATACAGAAATATTTATAAGTAATTTCATGCCTGTTTACATCTACTTCATTTTTATCTAAAATCGTAGTTAACAAAATGCCTAGACCAGATGAGGATTGCAATGGTTCTTCAAAATAGTTTCCTAAATTTACTAAAATTAGGGCTTTAAAAGCGTTAGAATCTAAGTCTTTTCCAATGATTTTGAATGGTCCGAACTTATTGCTACAACAAAAACTATCCTTATCCTTATTAAAATCTATATAAAACTCCCCAATTTTTGAAGTTTTGTTGGAATCTGCAATTACGTTTTGTCGTTCAAGGTTTCTAAAATAAATTTGCTGTAATATTTGGCTGGGTTTGTTTATCATTTTTTTTAAATGCTGCATGTAATTTTCAAATTTATACGCTGAAAAACTATCCAAAGGACCGAACTGTTTTACGCAATCTGGCAAGTGCAGTAAATTATGCACGTTAAAGCTTATCAAAAAGTCACCATACAAATCCCAAATAATTTTACAAAGTCTTTCAAAATCTCATTTGCGATATTTAATTCTGCGTTATGCGACCTTTCACAAGAAAGAAGTCGAATTCCGGCATGCAATAAAAGAAAGTGGTAGTATAAATCATCTGGTAGGCAGTCTTTCAAAATAAATATTCCCGTGTACAATAAAAATTGTCTAAATTCCGTGGACTTCCAATTGCTTATTTCATCAAGATTTCGGGATATTCTGCAAAACTCCGAGGGAACAAAACTTGAGAGGTAATGCATTTTCTCATTCATTCTTGTTACGTTACCTCTTTTAATCAGCAATTGGAGTAGTTTCTTCATAATACCTAAATCTACTAAATGCATTGGTTCCAAGGGAAATTGTGAAACCATGCCAATATTTGCTAATTCCAACAAACTTCTACATTGTCTGTATTCTAAACTATGATGGTCTAAATCGAATCTATTTTTAAATGAATCGTCTGTCCGTAAGGGCCCAATTGTATTCGAAAAGCAAACCCTTCTTTGTTTATACGCACTATTACATATGCATTTTGGGCAACTGTTTTTCCCAGTATGGGACTTCACTCACACTTAGTCCGTTTTCTCTTAAAAGTACTATTTCATCACAAAACTGCCTAAGCAATTCATCTGCGTTATGGGGCTTACTCATACCAGAAAAACAGGCAATAATAAAGGGGTCCTCTTTAGGAAAACCTACGACAGAGCCTAAAATTGGCCACAACGTCCTATTTGAGCTTTTAAATATCTTTAATCCATCAATTCCCACGTCTATATAAACTTTATCTACGCTTTGCAAAAATTCGAAATCTCTTGACATAAAATAAAACTGGATACCGAAATATTAGAATTCTCCCCCTGGTATGGTTTTAATATCTACTGTCTCCCGACTAGTACCTAAAAGAGTTTTAGCGGAAAGAGGTAGTCCGTCAACCCCTATCTTCCTCGATGTTTTTAATAGGTCCGTCAACGTATTCTAAGAGAGATTTTTTCGGATAGCAAAAGCCTTTAACTTACTACTCCGTTCATAATTTAGATCTATATTTCTTACAATATCATCTAACTCATGTAAGTCGAATAAATAACTCTCACTATCGCTACTCTCATTACACCCAAAATCATCTTCATTAACCAAAACAGTATCTGATACACTTCTCACAGTAGGATCAAAAATATTTTGAAGACCGGCAGCTCTGCTGGTACTAGGCATGTCATCATTACAACAAGATACTCTATAATTGCTACTACTGTTACTAATTTCCATTTGATGAGCAAGTTGGTTCAGTTTTCTATATTTTGAAACTGATGCTTCAAAATCTTTCTTCTCCTTGCTCATCAAATTGGAAAACGTTTTTTTATTCATACTCATGATTCACAAAAATATCCTACGTTCAATTATTTTTAGTAATCTATTGATTATTAACTAAGATTAGTATTTTGACAGTAAATGCCTTCTTTGTTTTGATTGATGACGTATCTTTATCAGCTGAATGAAAAAGCAGTCAGACCAGTAATGAGCGATTCTGAAATAATATATTTAACTAATTAAATTACAAATTGTATTTTTTTATATTAGATGTCTTAATAGTAATTAATTTGAAGCAATTCTAGAATATGTCTTGTTAATCAATTGGAAAAATCAGTACTCAATCCAGTTACAGATGCGTTCAACTAATTAGCAACGAAATTCAAAATGATACTGTTTGCAACTTATGTTTATTTATTTATTTTTAATAATTTTCGTTTAAAAAATAATTCAATCTACAACAGAAACCACAATAATAAAAGTTTGCATAAATTGCAAAAAAAAATTAATCAAACTTCAAAAAATTGTCCTCAATTTTTTTTTTGCAATTTATGCACGCTTTTAAACTTTTATTATTGTGGTTTGGATTGAGATTTATTTTAAATGAAAATTATCAAAAATAAATAAATAAACCTAATTTGCAAACAATATCATTTTGAATTTCGTTGCTAATTAGTTGACCGCATCTGTATATAGTTTATATATATGTACACATCAGTGATGGGCAAAATTGTAGTACCTATTAAGTACTAAGTACAAAAATATGTAGGTATTTGTGTTCAGGTAAATACCAAAGTAATGGATTTAAACTTTGCCCAAATAAATTTAAGTTTTGGACAATTAAATTTAAACTTTGGCAAATACAATTAAACTCTACTGTGCTACTAAATCTATTGTATGAAAAATCGGACTACGACGGAT